TGTGTATTTTATATGTTAGATTCTATAAAGGTGTAGATTCAACATAGTGTGACTATTTTACTTATTATTTAAGCATTAAAAGTTTTACTTTTGAAGTTTTATCTATTTTGATTCAATTTAAACTTTTTTGATATGAAGATTTTTCAAATTTGAACCAGACTTTGGAAGACTTATCGGAAGACTTACATTGAAGTCTTCTATTACACTCTACGCATTAGAAGACTTCACTATAAGTCTTTTGAACCGAAAATATATAACCTACGTGAAGTCCAAGCTAATCTATGTAGAGGAACGATCACAAGCTCCATGTGTAATTATTATGTTTATGGTTTGTTTTATGATTTCTATGTGTACTCTTTAGTTGTGAATTCTTTTCTAAACTTGAAGAGATGTTGATGAAAATAATTTGTTAAATATGTTCATGTCTACAATATATTTAATTTGCCAAAAGTACTTAACATTATTGAAGTTATTGGTACAACATATCAAGAAACATTTTGACCAAGATACTAAAATCAAGGGAGTGGAATTCTCAATAAAACTTAGTCAAATTCACAAAATATCACACACTACATAAGTATCACTAATATACTTTTCGGAAGTCTTCACTAGAAGTCTTCCTTTAACACTATCAATAAGAGGAGACTTCTTAAGAAAATCTTTAAAAACTATAATAAGAAAACAAGTTAAGCCTTCTCTTAGAAGACTTCTCTTAACAAAAATTAAGCGGAAAATAAAATTTGAGCGGAAAATAATAATTTAAGCGAGAAACTTAAATTTTAAATGCAAACTGAAATTTTAAATCTTATGAAAGTTCCAAAGTGTATCTTATGATCTAAGATGACAAATTAAACTACATGACTTGTCATTCTTCAAGTTACTTAACACTTTTGAAAGTTAAAAACATATCTTGAAGTTATTTAACACTATTGAAAATACAAATTTTACAAAAATAAACAGAAGACTTCCACATACATTTTCCGAGAGAAAACTTAAGTCTTCTCTCATTAAATATAAACATTAAAAATATGAATGTTTTTAACCTCATAATTATGACCAATTAAGTTATGAATTTTATTCCGTAGCCATAATACTGACTAACATACATGAATTAACAAGAAAGTATTGAAAATACTTTTAAATTTTAGAGAAAATGAAAGTTTACTAAACATTGACGCAAAGGAATTCTCCGAGAAGACTTCCATTCAAATTTTCCATTTAGGCAAGTTTAGCAATTGCAAGTTTATTTATAAATATTGGCTTACTTCTGGATCTTCACGACATGGATGAGAAAGAGAGAGAAGCTGTTGTTTTGGCATGGCAAGCATGGATTTCTTGAGGGCGTTTCGGAACTCGGATAAGGATTGCAAAAAATCTAAGGTTTTGTGGAGATTGCTATGTTGTTATAAAACATATAACTGACCTGAGATTGAGGAAAGATAAATAATAGCCTGAGACGCTACTAACTTTCAAAAGGAGGAAAGCGCTCATGCAGTGACGTTTGGTAAGTCTTGGTTCTCTGTTGTAACATTTGTTTCTGATAAACAGTAAGATTTTATGAATCGGGAATATTAATTAATGAAATAACAATTTAAGGTTACGTGAAAAAAAATCCAGATCCAAAATCTAAACCCAAACCAAAAAATTTGAATCCGAACCCAATCTAGATCAAATATGTAAAATACCTGAACGGGTCATGTTGCGCTGTAGTTCGAGTATAGAACATTATGTGAACCCGGTCCAAATTCAAATAAATATCTAAGAATATCTGAAAAATCTATAAATTCCAAAACTTCTGTATCCTATTCCCGAATAAATATCTAAAAAATCCGGATGAGTACAACATGAGTATTTGAAACCTAATAATAACACCACAACCCGATTTCATTTGAATTTATTAATTCATGTTCAAGTTTATATATTATATATTAAACTTTTTTATGTTTACAAAAATTGCATACATGTACATGTTCAAGTTTATAGATCATATATTAAGTTTTATGTTTACTAAAAAAACTAGTTACTTTAGGTTTACAAAATGTCATAAAATAGATATTTATTTGAATTAAAATTTTATTATTAAAAATACAATAAATCATTAAAAGACAATATTTTGTTTTTAGTAATGATCATTAGAACACTTTCCCATAAATAATCAACTAATCTATTTCATAATGAACAATGAGAATATTTATCTTTGATTTTCCTATATCAAACAAAAACAATTCTGAAATCAAACATTTTTATATTCTACAGTTTCAGTATCTACGGGTAGAGCTTCTCTTCCAACTTCAATTAGTGAAATTTTCATCATATGCAATTTTCCTAATTCACAAAAAATTATACATTAAAATAGCATAAAGAAAAAAAAATTGGTTTTGTAATTTGAATTTCGTACATAATCCAAATGATCAATTAATGTATTTCGTAATAAACCATGTGATTCTTTATCATCGATTTTCCTATATCGAAAAATAAAATTCTGAAATACCGGACTTTTATTATCTTCGGATATAGCTTTTCTTCCAACTTCAATTGGTGAAATTTTCAACGTATGCAATTTTCATAATTCAAAAAACAAGCATTAAAAGAGCATATAGAAAAGAAAATTTGAACTTGTACATGATTCAAACGTTTGTGCATATATCAAAGCTCAGTAAGTACAAATGTTATTAAATCAAAATGTTGACCCACAAGATAAACAAACTCATCTATTCTGTTTGAACAATACTTTACCGATCTTGGTAGTTCTGAAAGCAATTTACCAGATTTTTAAATCACTTATTTTATACTATATTTATTTTATATTATTTATTTTTATTTTTAATTAGTTTATTCATATTTTATGTAAAATTATTAAATATTTTTTTTGTGGAATATCATATTTGTTTCATGTAATTGTATTATTTAAAAACATATAAGATTTAAGATCATTTAAAAAATAAAAAGTTCAACTCAAAAATGGAAATATGGGTAAGATTACTCCATAAATAGAGTAATCCCAACCATTACTCCTTTTTGAGTTGAATATGGAGTTGGGTTGAAGAAAATTTTACTCCAAAATGGAGTTTGGAGTTAAAAATGGAGTAGGGTTGGAGATCTGTTATAACACATTTGTCATCAAATAAAAATAGACTCATGAAGACTCTGCAAACCAAAGTTGTAATTCCGCATCCATGTGAACGACATACAACCTTTGGTTTTAGTATTGCGTGCAAGGCTATCCGCCTGTAAATTATGTGTTCTTGGAACATGAATGATCGTCGAGCTGTGAAAACTTTCCTTCAGGATCTTGATATCTTTCAAAAAACTTGCAAAAGAAGGTCATTCTTCTAGTTCTGAAACCATCTTCACCAATTGAGAAAAATCTGTTGCAAATGTGACATGAAACTGACGTAATTTCCCAAAGCATTCCATTACCCAAATGAACGCTTCCACCTTAAGGGGTGATAGACTCGCCTTCGTATTCCTAGCTCCCATCAAACCATCAAAACCTTCTAGCATACTATACCAACCTTGTCCTGAAAATTTCTAGATTTTCTATAAACCATCCGCGAAACACTATCTTCATTGAATGGTTGGTAAATTACTGACCTCTGCCTCTGTAGTTTGCAAAATCCTTTGTGTCAGTAACGCATCTCCTTTCAAACCACAATAGAGACTCCGTTTTTGCCAATTTTAATGTATCCATGAGATCAATATCTATGTTACTGAAGACTATATTAGGTATCTTCCAGCACAATGTGCAGAAATAAAAGTTTTAAAATTAAAATTATATTTAAAATAAAATTTATTAATTATAAAATTTTATTATTAATTTGCTTACAATATTAATTTTAAAATTTTAATTTAATATATATTTTAAAAATATATCAAATAAATAATTTAAAGCTGTAATCTTGGAACGGATTTTTTGTACCAATTTCTTTTGGTTACAATATATTAAATCAAATCCTAGAAAAGTAAGAGAAACCAATAGTATTGGATCTGAAATTACAATATTTTTTAAAAAAAACTAAATAAAAATTTCAAGAATGCTTTTAATAATAAAATTATATAACTATAATAGAATTAAACATATTTTAAAATTTTGAAACTTTAATTATATATATTTTTTACCTTTATATAATTTATTGTTCTATTAAGAATGATCTATGAGTTACTACTATATTCTAATCAAACTTAATAAAGATATAAATCAACATTAAATGTAAATGTCTATATCACAATTAACTAAGTCATATAATTATTGTTAGTATGTCATGTCATCTTTTTTCTTTTAAAATCAATGTAAAAATGACATTATAACAAATCACTTCTTAAATAATGTATAGGGAATATAATTTGATTACTTCCTGGCTACCAACCAGTATGCCTGGATATGAATAGTCTCCCACAACTTCTATTATCAATCAAAAGGTTTAGACAAACGTTGTAAGAACTTAAAAAATGATATAAAAAGAATGAGAAATATATTTTTAACTCTATCCCAAAGTCACACAAACATTGTCTTTGTCTTAAGGGAAGATAGGTGAAATTCTCAATTTACCAGTAAGAGTGTGGAATTGTCGTGGATATAAAGCTTTTGTTAGTACAACCACAGTTTGTAATCACGTTCGAACATGAAGTAGTTTTAGATCATAGCTATCTCGAAGACTCCAACCTTTCTTTGTGACTGTGTAGCAGTTGATCTCAATATGTTTGACTCGTTGGTGAAATACATGACTTGTGGCAATGTGAAGTGATGTTCTATCTCAGAGACTCAGAGCAATACAATTAACTCACGATTGTAATACCAACGTGTATCCAGAGGCGTTTGTCTTCTCTGATGGCATTGAAAATAATGGAATAATAAAATAACAAAATAATTTGTCTTCGCTTGTTTGGTGTCACACGATCTATATACCAACGACACAAGTCATATGTTCTTACTCGCATACAGCCAAAAGCTTCAAACTGATAAGGTTCACATGTGTGCTAGAGTTTGCGTTTTATTCAGAGACGTCTAGCTTGAGGGCTTCCCCACACTTTACATATAGAAAGATGGCGACAGGGACTGTATTGGCGACGTCGGTGAGCAATGGCGGAGGGAATAGTTGTTGCAAGTCCGGTCCGGGTTACGCAAGCCCTCTCGCAGCCATGTCCGGTCCACGGGAAAAGCTCATATATGTCACTGCCCTCTACTCCGGTACAAGATTAAAACAAGTTTCTCTTACAAGTTTAATGTCTTTTAATTGTGGGTTCCTCTGTATTTAAATACCTTTGACATTTTTTGAACTGGGTAACAAAGGAACGGGGCAAGAGAAACCGGACTACTTGGCTACGGTAGATGTGGATCCAAACTCACCAACATATTCAAGCGTCATTCATAGACTGAAAATGCCTTATATAGGCGATGAGCTTCATCACACTGGTTGGAACTCATGTAGCTCTTGTCATGGTGATGCTTCTGCTGATAGACGTTTCCTCGTATTACCAGGCTTAATGTAAGATCCTTGTCTGAATCTCTTTTCCCTTTTACCCTCATGTCTCTAGATGATGCATGAACTAATAGATGTTTCTCATCTTCTTGTTTTGGTGAAGATCTGGTCGCATATATGCGATTGACACAAAGACAGACCCAAAGGCCCCGTCCTTGTATAAAGTTGTAGAGCCTAAAGAGATTTTAGAGAAGACCGGATTGGCCTTCCCCCACACGTCTCATTGCCTTGCCACGGGGGATATGTTGGTCTCTTGCCTTGGTGACAAAGAAGGAAACGCCAAAGGGAACGGGTTTCTCCTTCTTGACTCTGATTTTAACGTCAAAAGCAGGTGGGACAAACCAGGGCATAGTCCAATGTTTGGGTATGATTTCTGGTACCAACCTCGTTTCAACACGATGATCAGCACATCTTGGGGAGCACCTAAATCATTCTCCAAAGGTTTCAATCTCCAGCATGTTGCTGATGGCTTGTATGGAAGTCATTTACACGTTTATAAATGGCCAGAAGGTGAAATGAAACAGATTATTGACCTTGGTAATACTGGTCTCTTACCCCTTGAGGTAATATACATTACTCCAACATGATGAAACGTAATGATCTTTTTCTACCAAGGAATATAAGCTAGTGTGGTATGTGGTTGTTGCAGATTAGATTCTTGCATGATCCGTCTAAAGATATAGGGTATGTTGGGAGTGCCTTGTCAAGTAATATGATAAGATTTTTCAGGAACAGTGATGACACATGGAGCCATGAGGCAAGTAGAGTTTTTGAATAGTCTTCATTTCCTCTGTTTTTCAAATCTATGCTTAACATGTTACATACAATCTATGGTTATTTATTTTTGTAGGTAGTTATATCTGTTAAACCCCTGAAAGTAGAAAACTGGATTCTTCCAGAAATGCCAGGGCTTATCACTGACTTCTTGATCTCCCTCGATGATCGTTTTTTCTACTTTGTGAACTGGCTTCATGGAGACATACGTCAGTACAACATCGAAGACCCTAAGAACCCTGTCTTAACCGGACAAATTTGGGTAGGAGGATTACTACAAAATGGCAGTTCTGTTAAGGCTGTTAGAGAGGATGGTAGCACTTACCAGTTTGATGTTCCTCAGATCAAGGTTTGTACCCGAAATGTGATCTTTTGGTAAGTCTTACATTTTGCATTGTATTGAAAATTTTACCTCACTGGTAATTTTCAGGGGAGATCACTAAGAGGAGGACCACAGATGATTCAACTGAGCCTTGATGGGAAGAGATTGTATGCAACAAACTCACTGTTTAGCGCGTGGGACCGTCAGTTTTACCCGGAACTCATGGATAAAGGATCACACATTATTCAGATTGATGTTGATACAGAGAAAGGTGGTCTATCCATAAACCCTGATTTCTTTGTTGACTTTGGTGATGAACCAGATGGTCCTGCGCTTGCCCATGAGATGAGATATCCAGGTGGTGACTGCACTTCCGATATATGGATTTGAAATTGGAAGAGTGAGTTCGTTGTCTTATGTTTAAATTGTGTATTTAGAGTTGTTATGTGTGAGCTGAATAAAAAGCCAAGTAATCGTAATGGTGCTTTGTAAAAAAAGATTTTACATTTTGAACCTGGATAAGACCTACGCCTTGCGGAAGGTGAAGGTATGTAATTAAAATATAAAATTTTAGTATTGACAAATTTAAAATTTACATATGATTGTTTTTATATGTATTTGAAATTTTAGAATTTTGAAATTTTTATATAATTATCTATACATAGGATCAGAAACAATTGTAATTAGAATTGTAGATCAAAAGTTAGAATTTAATGGACTCGATTTGATATATCTTTTCACTTTTCAGTGTTCGAGTGATGGAAAATAAACGGAGTGTCACTAGGCTTGATTGGTAGAGTATTAACAAGTTCCCTAATATTTTCTTAAGAAGTAGTTGGTAAAATATTTGCATTTAAAATATATAAAGTTTCAAAACTAATTTAATATCATTATTTATTTGTCTAATAATATAAGAAAATTTGACTTTTTACAAAAAAAAATTTTAAACAATTTTAGAAAAAATTATTTTAAAAAATAATATTTAAGTTTTTCAAATACAAATAAACAATTTAAAATTAATTATGGTCATGATTTAACATAACCATAATGATTTAAAAATTTAAAAATTAACAAATTAAAAATTAACTCAGTTTTATATCATGATTTAACAATTTAAAAATTATTATGGTTATGAGAAGTTTACGTTCACGTGTCAATCCTATTTATTTTCATTTTTTTTGTCTTTTTGTATTTTTTTTTTGGTTATTACTCGAAAATATTTATTCTAAAGTTTATTTTCATTTTGTTTGTTTGTTTTGACCTGAGATTTTAGAAAATACTTAAGATTTAAAATAATGAAAGAGATACATACTTAGGTTAAGATCTGCACTTTATGCATAATAAATATTTTATATTTATTATTTGTTTTATATTTTTATGCATATTATAAAATCATAAAATAACAAATATATGTATTAAATAACTAAGAAATCAGTTACTATTATGTAATAAATTGGCGTATGCATATAAATTTAACTATCCCTCTTGTTTATTCACAATTAGGGTTGTTTATTCGCAATTAGGATAAATGACTCAAAATAATCAATCTTATATATTGTATATGATATATAATTAAATTTAAATGATATAAACATAATAATATAGCACACTTTTAATATGGATATTTATTAAATGAGGTTTCTACTCATATGATTTTATGATTATTTGCATATTTGTGTAACAAAACTTTACACCAACGAATTTTTTTTTAATGTGAGGTGTATAGTAGTTTTAATAATTTATAATCATTTTAAAAAAAAAACAATGACATATTTCAAAATTAAAATATTAACTTTTCAATATATGTTCAATGCAAATATCAAAATATAAGTATGTATTTTTCTACGATGTATAGTTTAATTTAAACGATATGAAATATATATAAACTAAAATTATTTCTTCATATGGTCTTATAATCAGTATATTTTAATATAGAAAAAAACTAAAACCTTGATCCTAAAAGTTTATGTGAGACTTTAACAATTTTAGTACTTTATACTCATTTTCAAAAATTCAAAATACAACATACACAAAAAAAAAAATCTAGATTTTTATTATATGATTAATGTAATTGTGTAATTTATTTTAATAAACAATAAATAAACAAAATGAAAAAAATATACAGATTATTATCAAATATTTATTATTTAAAATAACTAATTGTCATATATATATTTTAGCCACATTAGGTAATTACGTAGGTTTTGTTTAAAGAAAGCATGCGAAACAATAAATAGTTTATATATGCGACCAATTATAGCGTACGAAATATTATATTGTTAGAAAGTATAATATTTAGAGTATACATTATATTACATGCTCTAGAATCCTTATATATTAGAATAGAAGACAAAGAACTATGCCACATAGCATTGAAGTTATTTTTAATCATTAGAAACTTAAGGTTACAACTTTTTAAATGATTCTTTTTTGATATATAGGGGATTAACACATTTGGTGTTGGCGTTTACATTCCCAGGGGTTTATTTTGATTCTCCACCGTTTGTAATATGTTTTAACCAGTTGTAGCGTGGACCGTTGCTTAAGACATCAGCTTAGTGAGTAAAAGTGGTTGTAAATCAAGAACTACAACAATAATTATAACTCATGTTCTAAAAGTCGGACGCCTCACCTAAGCGGTTAGACCCCACTCATCCGTCCAGATTTATATCCCCGATTTATGCCAAATCATTTAAAAATTTAGATGTAAGATTAGCCTAAATAATCACTTATCTGCCTAAATGACTGTCTAGTTTATTTTTAATTATTTTATTATTTTTATTTTTTTCATTAATTTGTTTTATCTAAAATGTTATAAGTGCAACTTATTTGCATAATTTTGAGGAAAATTATGTATTTGCATAATTTTGATGAAAATTATGCCGTATTAAATTTATATTTTTATATTTACGTGTTCTATACAATTTTAAATATGAAAATATATTAATTTTTCTAAAAAAATAAAAATTTACATGTTTTATACCACATTAAACAATCTAAAGTTCTACCCCATATAATTCCCGCTTAATCTTCGATTTTCTCGCTAGGCTTCAGGCCTGACCCAGCTGACCGACTAGCGTCTAGCATCATTCCTAACATGGATTATATTAGAGTAAAACAGAGATTATATCAATAGAGATAAGTATATACACTAGAATTTAAAATGAACTTACAAGCCTTTATTTAAACAAAATATTAGGCAAGATCAAACATCTTTGACTTGCTTCTCTAGTTTCATATGTCCTAAGGTCGAATACAAAACCTTAAAACCTTTTCTTTTTAGACTTTGTGTTTTTCATGCACCTTGCATGTTTATGAAAACTCACTCTTATGCTGAAAATACAACTCTATGTGTTAACCCTAATACAAAGGTCGAAGTTGTCTATTTATACAAAATAGTCAATTGGCTAACTTAGCCTCCAAAGAGATATTCTTAATTCTCCAACTTAGGCAAGTTTCATGAATCATCTCCTAAGTATTAAAGAACCTTCCAATACGAGATCTCTCTTTTTCAAAGTGAATCTCCAACTACTTGTTCTCCAAGTGATCCTGAACTAACTCTGACTTAATCACCAATCCAGATTCTAAATCTTCATCTTTGCTACATCTCGATCATTCCACTCACATACTCGGTGTAGCAGATCTTGCCATACTTCTAACTGATTTATGCTGTCCACCTGATCTTTGAATCTTTAATCTTCCCTTTTTATCTTTGAATGCTCCTCAAGTACATGCATGATATCCACTCACAGAAAACCACATATATTTTTACACAACACATAAGAAAATAGGTGTACTAGAAGACCAAATTGTTCAAGAAAATATCGGTCCATGAGTGAGAGACAAATACATAACCAAAATAAAAGATAAACTCTCTAACTTCCCCAAAACCTTAGGCCTATAATATAACACATAAACACTTAGTTTCTTGTGGGGACAGAAATTCGCAATGTCAAAATTTGTAATGAAGAAAGCAAAGGTTTCTTATGGGGGTAGAGAATTCTGCAGAGCTAAGGAAACGTAATCAAAAGATGCGGAAACGAAATTAGAAAATACGAAAAACTAATTTAAGAATAAGAGGATATTATAGCAGAACCACATCTATGGCATTGCAGGCATCACTCATCATTTTCCATGCACATGCTTGCTTCTGGTTCAGCTATGCTCCTCCTCAACCCGACCTCATGCTCTTCAGCTTTTTGATAAGCTCATGAATGTCCTGATACTCTCGCACATTGCATCTGCTCTTGAGCTCAATCCTCATTCTCTTCATGAAACGGGGTATCAGCTCCCATTCTTCCCAGTAGTGTCTTGCGAACCTCCTCAGTCAGTTGAAATCCTTTATGTATTCTCTCACTTTCTTGGTTCCCTGACAAATATCATGGAACTGACTCTACATCTGGTATATGGCCTCTCACGTTAAGTACATCATGTTAAAGGTCTTCAAAAAGTATGTCAAAGTTAATTCATACAATCCCTGCACACCTTCCACCTCTCCTTCCCACCATAACAAAGCATCTTCTTGAGGTGGCGGACAGCCAATTCCTTACAGTACTCAGGTGGGTATCTGGATGTATTAATATTCCTTTCCAACTTGTTCCTCCAGTTGTATGCAGTGATAACATTTGTTTTCCCACTGAAAAGCTCCACCTACATGTCTCTCATTGCCTCATCATATCTCAATAGGTTGGTCCTTGAGGAATGGCTAGCGCTGACAAAACCGTTGGTGGTGGGTTTGCACCCTGCCTCGGTGGAGGCGGTGCGGCTCCTCTCCTGCCCCTCTAATGTCAACACCATCTCCTTGTAATTGGTCTCTGTATTTCTTGTGATATCTGCAACTCTTCCAGGACCTCTGCATTGACGGTAACTGGAGCGTTCCCCAGAACCACTCCAATTCGGTTTCCCACCTCGGGCTCCTCCCTGGCATGTTTCTCATGGCCCCACCCACGACTCATATTCCTGAATATTCTAGTTGTACCTACAAAAAGGAGAGATAAGTACTGAGATTACTCAGTGAGGATAGGTTCTAAGAACCTACAAAGTTATCTCAAGGCATGAAATACAACAAGCACAATCATAAGCTAATATCACCTAGCATGCAACAATCAACCTAGTTCTCAAGGACCTATACACTCATGGCATTGGCTCAGCTGGCACTGTCCACTCCCACGGCCTTATGTTACTACCTAGTTTGTAGCCCATTGGCTTCTCTGGCACTCTCCACCTCTGGTCACCATAGTCACTTATGCCTAGACTCGGCATGACTCAATCATACCGAACCACACAACTCATTATCACAATCATTCTCATCACAATGCGATTTACCATTTATCAAAATTTCATAGTCTAAGTGATTTCATCAAATCAACATGAATCAACAACTAAATACAGAATTTCATCGCATCAACACAACTCAACAACTATACCTTGACATAATTAAAAAACGCCCAAAGATATTACATGGCATGAGAAGAAATTTCATCACCTTATCTTTCTTGACCGTGCAGATATGGACTTAGAAAGAAAAAGGATGGAAACAATCATATATCTACACTCTCACTAACACTATCGATGGAAGAAATGGCT